GGGTGAATCCCCCAGGGAAATGCAGCCAGCGCTGGGCTTGGAAGTAGGATGAGATGTTGACATTTTGGGGATTAGTGGAAGCAGCAGCGCGGCCTATGGCCAATTAGAGTCCTGAGATATTTTTTTCCCCTGGCACTGGAGATTGAACCCAGGGCCTTCACACTGAGCTACATCCCCAGTCCTTTTTCATTTCTTATTTTGAGACAGGTTCTCACCACATTACTCAGGCTGGGCTAGAACCTGCGATCCTCCTGCCTCAGCCTCCTTCTGGGCGGGGAGTACAGGTGTGTACCACCCTCTGGCTCTGACTGTTTTTTCCAAGGTCATTAGGTTCAGGCAAAGAATGCCCTTCATCAGGATGGGAGCCCTTTGCATTGTCACCCTTCCATGGGAACGTCTGAATGTAGGAGCATGAGTGCTTCCGGCAGAGAGTTCCCCATCTCTGCCGTGATGCCAGCCTGTTCAGAAGTCCTTGCTTGTGTGCTCGACTGGTCTGTGCCCCTAGTGCGCCAGCTCCGCATAGGCGTGCTCCACCCACCTTCCCCGGAAATGCTCCTGAAGCTTCTCGAACCCATGCACTTCCTTCAGGGAGAGACCTAATCCCATCTCCACAACATGCCGAGTGTGTGAAGTGAAGGCTGCTAACACCACTCGGAAGCCCAGACCCAACAATTCAGCCCCTCGTGCTGTGGCTTGATAGAGGAAGAAGTGAGTTCATTTTCCAGGAAATGTATTTATTTTACACACTAGGGTAAGTCAGGGATGGTAGCGCTCACTTGTAATCCCAGCTATTTGGGAGGCTGAGGCAAGAAGATTACAAATTTAAGGCCAGTCTTAGCAACTTAGTGAGACTCTGTCTCAGAATAAAAACATAAAAAGAGCTGGAGATGTAGCTCAGCAATACAGTTTGCTGGATAACCCCAGGCCCGAGATGGGAGAGGAAACTGCACATTATTCAAAGAAGCCAGAAAATGTGGTGTAATCAGGAGAACAATTGTCAATAGAAGTAGACCCACAGATGGAACTATCAGACCCGGTCGTTACATTGAGTAAAATTAAAATGTTGAAAGATCTAGCTGGGCTTGATTGTGCACGCCTGTAATCCCAGCACTCAGGAGGCTGAGGCAGGAGGATTGCTGTGAGTTTGAGGCCAGCCTGGGCTACATAGTTCAAGGCCAACCCGAACTACATAGCAAGACCCTGTCTCAAAAAAAGAAAATCAAACAAATGAGAGAGAGAGAGATCTAGTGAAGGGAAAGGTAGGAAAAGGTAGACAGCACAGGTGAAGTTAGGAATTTAAAAAAGATAAATGGAAACTATAAAAATAAACCAAAGGAGAAGCTGGGGTAGCTCTGTGATATGCTTGCCCCGCAGGCACGAGGGCTTGCATCCAATCCCTAGCTCTACAAAAGAAACCAACTGACTCCCCGTTCCTCTGCCGCCCCAGCCCCTGCCAGCCCGATTCAGCCAAGGCCCTTCCCAGGGACTCCAGGCCAGGTGGGCAGACGGAGGCAGAGGGAGAGGTGCCTTTAGGGACTTCTGCTTCTTCCTGGGCCGGGCCTCTTAATCAGGGAGATGGAAGAGGCTGTGGCAGCTCCCTACGTGCCAGGACTGGCTGAGGAGCCTGGTGCCAGTGCCCCTGGTGCCCCAGAAAGCGGGGACAGAGGAGTGCGGGAAAGAGAGAGAGGAGGCGGCGGCAGTTCTCTGGCAGCAAGGACTCTCCAAGTAATTAGTTTTTAAATCAGGCAGACGGTTCAAGAGCCACTCACTCCGGGCAGCTTTAATTATTTATGCTCCCTTTTCCTGCTGATTATTTATAACCATCCTCTCTGAAGGGAGGAGGAAGATGTTTTCTCCACTGGGTTCTCAGTGTTCATTCAGCTTCGGCTTCCACGAGGCCCAGCGGCATCCACAAGGTGCCGGACTCTGGATGAAGCCGCTCTGGGCTGACGGGGCCAGCAGCTGGGGAGATTCTGCCAGGTCCACCCCACCCAGCGCTGCGGTGCACAACAGACTGCTTGAAAACTGGGCTCCGGAGCCTTGGGCCTGCTCACCCTGCAGAACTGCAAGAACTGCGATGGGACTGCATTGGAGCTGCAGTCCCGGGGAGCCCCAGGAGCCCCACCGTGAGTCCCCTCCTGCCTCGCTCCCCGTGTCCAACGATGCCTAAGCGTCCGCCGTCCTTGTTTGTCTGCTGGGGCTCTGTAACTCAGGCCCAGGGCCACACAGCAGACGCGTGGAGCTGCGGCCCGGGGGTCACCTGAGCCTGGGAGTGACCCTCATCTCATCGGGGCCCCTGGCTTCGGCCCTCAGCCCCTCTCTTCCCCAGCTCACCCCCGGTCTGACCTCTAGGGGCTTCCTCTGCACGTGATCTGACAGTGACCTTTATGTGGACTCCAAGCCCTTCGTGGGCATAAGACTCAGGTGACTGTGCAGAGCTGAGCAGGAGGAGGCTTTGCCCACTTGCGGGCAGGAAGCAGGGACCAGAGGTCATAGAAGGAAGGGAAGAGCAGCGGGAAGCAGGCAGGCGGAGCCAGCCCTGGAGCAGCTTCCTGGCTCCTGCTCTAGTGCGCCCCCTGCCGGGCCCTGGGAGATTCAGGCTGCTCCTCACTGGGGTTCGGCACCGGGCACCCGCTCATTCATCCCTGAACGCGCACAGGGAGGGTGCAGCCGGTCACCGAATGGATCCCCGACAGCCTCCCATTGCAGCTGGCTGGCATAAGCAAAACTTAGAAATCATCGTAGTAGTAAAGAAGATTGTTTTATTTAGCCGCTAAAATCCTGGTTTTTTTAAAAAAAAAAAAAGCATGGAAAAATTTCCACTGGTAGTATCAGTGGTGGTTGCCAAATGATGTGCAGAATCTGAGCTTAACGTGGGCAAAGCAGATATAAGAAATTTTTGCAAGTGCATTAGAAAAAATTAAATCCCCTACCTAAGCAGGTTGACTGGCAGCGGTAGATCTGCTTCTATTTTCCAATCGTTATGCAGTGGGCAGGCACTGTTTGTATTATCAGGGAAATGCCAGGGCATTTCCATTTCACGTTTCACAGAATGCCACAGCCCTAAGGGGGAGCGGGTGCATGAGGGTGGGAGGGGAGCGTCCAGGGGCTCTGCAGCCCAGCCTGATCTGTCCCACATTGAGTCTGACTTCTGGCGCACACCTGTAATCCCAGCACTCTGGGAGGCTGAGGCAGGAGGATCACATCAAAAAAAATAAAGCAAAGGGTTGGGGGCCAGGGATACAGCTAAGTGAGGAGGAGGGGGAAGGGGGGAGGAAGAAGCCCACAAGGGCTGGGCTTCTCACGAGTGCTGTAATGGGGTCGGCCTGGTGTGCTGGCTGGGGCCCAGGGTCCCCCTCAGGTCTGGTCTGCTCCGTGGGGCCCCTCCTGGCTGTGCTCTGGGGCAGTATGAACATCTGCAAAGTGTTCCTGCTCCTGTACAGGAAATGTGTCTCAGCCGTGCATGGATCCCCACTCCCCAACCCTCTCCCCTCCTTCCCTCCACGGGGGAGCAGCGCGGAGGGGGCCCAGCTCTCCTGTGAGGCCTGGACTCCCAGCTGCAGCAGAAAGGGCGCCACCTGCTGGGGCGAGGGCGGCACACCAGGCACACAGCTCAGAGCCTCAACTTCACGCTTGGGGTGCTGCCACCCCTGCCCTCCCAAGGCTCCCCAGTGGTGGCCCTCGGAGCAGCAGCCCCACACTCCAGACCCCGTGTGCCCCCAATACCGGGATTCAGAGCAATGCTCGGGACGGTGACCCCTACCTCTGAACTGGACAACAGTGCCGTGCTGCCAGGGGGCTGGGCCCCACCGAGCAGGGCTAGGTCTCTTCTTCATGGCATCATTTTCCCAGCACTTCCCATATTGCACAAGTTACTTGGGAAGTCAGGAAGTGTTTAAAAATGGGAGAAGAGATACCCAAAAACTCCAGAGGGAGACCCCAGGCAAGGCCCTCCCTGTGCACCGCAGGACCCCACCAGACTCCTTACCCCATGCAGGCCCTCTGCCAAGCTCCAGGGCTCTGGGCCTCAAAAGCAGGGGCTGTTGTCAGCCCATTTCCTGGGTTCCAACTCTGCGGCCCAGTGCAGGAGAGGAGGAAGCCAGGCCACCTGGGCCAAGTCCTGCAGGATGCCCTGCCCTCCACAGGGGTCCCCAGCCAGCACAGCATGAGGCAGGGTCACCCTGGCCTGGACCACATGGCTACTTAAGGTGCCTCTTGGGCTGAATGAGTGAGGCTCAAGTGGGGAGGGAGGCAGGTGTGATGACACCTGTGATCCCAGCACCCTGGGACACTGGGCCGGGAGGATCACACGTTTAAGCCCCATGTGGGCAACTTAGTGACTGAATGAGACCCTGTGTCATTTTTAAGGGGGGGGGGGGGCGGATCTGGGACGTAGCTCAGTACGAAGGCCCTGGGTTCAATCCCCAGCACTGCAAATGACAGTTGACAGGGTTCCACCTAACAGCTTTCAGTTTCAAAAAGCAAATCTCAAGGATCTGCTAACCAGAAGCAGCCAACCGTGCCTCCCTGCAGAATCACTCCAGACACGCTGATGAGTGATCTAGGGAGGCTGTGCCCATCACCGATGGCACTCCTGAGACCTTCCCCAAGCTCAGGGCGACACATCCCCAGCAGCCACACTGACGCTGCCTTCGCTCCTATCAAGTCCAAGGAGTCCTTGTTTGGATGTTTGTGTAATTTTTCTCTTGGTGGCACTAGAGACGGAACCCAGGGCCTCTGCACTGAACTACATCCCCAGCTGTCTTTTTCTTTCGAGACAGGGTTTCGATAAATCGCCCAGATTGAGCTAGAACTTGGGATCCTCCTGCCTCAGCTTCTCAGCATGGGCAGCTTTGGTATTTATTTGTCTTAATCCTGGGAGTCCGAGTTCAGGATCTAGCCTGGCCTGACCTTCTGTGCCCCTCTTCTATCTGTACCTCCGGGGCCACGAGGAAACCCACATTGCAGGGGTAGGACAACACTCCCTCTGGAGCCCGAGATTGCATTTGAAACATTTATTTCAGGAAATACATTTCAACACTTTGTTATTTATACAAAAAGAGCCGGATTTCTCAGGAGGCACATAGCAAAAGGCCATTGTGGAACGGAGCCCAGTGAAACGAACTTTTCAAAATCTGGTTACAGAGAAGGAAAGCAAAGCCAACCCTGGGGACGCTGCTGTACCCCTGACCCCAGCGCCACCCGGCTGGGGCTCCCGAGTCCTGCACCCTGCCGCTGGACATTTCCTTCCTTCAGTCTTGGTTTTGGCAAAAACTTGGCAAGTCGGCAGTTGGCAAGTAAACTGTTGGGCTGAGGGGCTGCTGAGGTCTGCACACCTCGGGGAGGAGACTCACTCGCTGTGGCTCTCGCTCCTGCACACCTGAGTCTGTCCACACCATGTCCCCGCAGCTGTGCTTCTCGGCATGGGGCCAGTCTGGGGTCTGCAGCCAGACACCCCCAGGCATGGACACCCGTGCTCAGCCCCCCCGCCTCCTGCTGCCCGGGAACGGGAGGCGGGAGGCAGTGACAGCCGTGCTGTACGATGGACGGGCCCCCACGGCCTCCTCCTGGGGACTCAGGGCGGGACCCTGCTCTTCTGTCTGTGTGCCTCCACCTCATCTCTCCCTCCCCAGGGGTCTTCACGAGGGCATCTGGGGTGCAGGGGCCCAGGCACCCGAGAGGGCGATGGCCCCTCCTGGCCCCCTGCCAGCCCCAGCCAGGAGCAGTGAGTCTGGGGTCAGGGCACCCGGGCCAAACCAGACAGACAGACCGACCTCCAGCATGCGCCCCAGCACCTTTCACAGACCCCCCCCTTTGCTCGGGCCTTCCCCGAATTCAGGGGTGGGGTGCACTTCTGTCCTCATCAGGTTTCGCTGCATCAGAGGCACCCAAAGGCCCCCGGGAGGGGTGAGTCAGTGCAGGGCTTGGGGGGTGAGTCACACCTCCCTCTCTTTGTCCCTGATCCTGGCCCAGGCGGACACCTAGGAGAGTCCTCTGGCTCATGTGGACAGCTGGATAAAGGCACTTTCTGCTCCAGGATGGGCTCCGGGCGGGTGGCCTGGCTGAGTCTAAGCAGTTGGCAACGTGGGCTGTGGGACCCGCTCAGGAGCAGGGTGGGGGACTCTTGAGTCATGGCCCAGGCCACACAGGGGCAGGAGGGGCTCCATCCTCCCACTCCAGGAGCTGTGGCCACAGGGACAGAGGGGTGACAGGGCCGCTGTACCCAGGGGACCTGGTCCCTGAAGAGGCTCCGGAGTGAGGCTCCACAGAGGGGGCAGACAGGGCGGCTCTGTGGGCCCCTTGGGGAGCCAGGCTGGGGTTTGGGGTCAGACCCCAAGGGGCCCCGGAAGGCCAGAGGGTCCCAGACTGAGGTCCCCTCCGTGGACAGCCAGGAGCTACTGATGAACACTCAGGAGGCTGTGCCTTGTCACCTGGCAGCCCTGAGAGGGGGCGGAGAACAGTGATGAATGGAGAAAATGATATAAAATACGATGGGCTGGGCAGGTGGTGGGCCTGGGGGACAGAAAGACTTGGGGACAGGGTCCAGGGCAGGGGGGCGTCTACATCTCCTGGGCTTCGGGCTCCTTCTCCTCGACCCCGTTGGCCATGGCGCTGTTGCCCTCATTGAGCCGCTTAACGCGGTATGCCTCGAAGTGGATGCTGCTGGTGATATCCTTGATGTTCTGCATGTGCGTCCTGTGGGGACAGCAGGTCAGCCTGGCCCTCCCTGCCCCAGCCCCACCCCACCATGGTGACCAGGCCTGGCACAGGTACGGTGTCTGTCTTCCCGTAACCGTGACTTCTGCCCCACCCCCTGGCCTCCCACATAGCCCTGCCCGCCTCTGGACGGGGAAGACAGGAGCCCAGGACCCCACCACTTCATTTACCCCACCCAGGGCTGCTCCTCCGGAGACCCCCACCTGGCTCTTCTCTAGGGGGCTTCTGCTGGGCTCTAGGAGACCAAAGAGAAGCCCCAGCCGAGTCAAAGGGCAGGGGCACAGGCTGCTGGGGACAGAGCTGAGGACCCGCCCCATCTCCACTTAGAGCCCAACCGTGAGGCCTCATGGACCCCGCAGTGCAATCTGGGCTCAGGTCACGGGACCAAGACCCAGCCCCCGTCTGCCCCCAAGACCTCACAGGGCCAAAAGGATGTCCACTCTGCTTCATTCATTTCCCAGAGTGCTTCTTAGCTAGTGGGATCCTGGAGGCAGGGCAGCTGGGTGGGCAGGAGTGCCAGCCCCAGGCAAGTCCTCTGCCTGTCTGCCTGCCTCCTGCACCGCAGCACCGCCAGGCTCACCTGATGAGGAGGTCCCGCAGGTAGGCAAACTCACAGTGTGTGGTGTTCTCGACTGAGGAGGGACAGAGCGCGTTAGTGTCACCCAGGGAAAGCCCCACCCCAGCCAGTAATACCCAAGGGTGGCCCCACTGGTGGGGGCAGGGGAGAGGGAGCTGCCTGCTCCACAGGTGAGTCCCAGGCACCTGTCACCTGCTCCCCAGGTGAGACCTGGATACCTGGGGACTCCAGGGGGCAGGACAAGCTCAGCTCCCGCTCTCTGGAAGGTTCTGGGCTAGTGGAGACATGGCCCAGCAGCCAGGCCAAGACTTTGGCAAGGCAGAAAGGCCACAGTAGGAGGGATGGGGCCCGCACCCCTGGGGTGACCAGGGAGGCCCTCCCAGGATGTCCCGGGCAGACCTGAAGGCAGGCAGAGCCGGGACAATGACGAATTGGGGCAGATTTTCAGACACCCTGGGTCCTCTGAGTTTTATTCCCACTCACACACATGTGCCCAGGATGCAGGCAGGACAGACACAGACACACAGACACACACACACACACGCACACGCACGCACACGCACAGAAACCACAGAGGCCACATACAGTGGGTGACCCTTGAGATCAAATCCAAGAACCCGCAAAACTGAAAGAGACCAGGCTTAGGGCCACCTGGCTATGAGCCCACACATGGGGAAGCCATGGGGGACAGTGGGCACTTCTGGGGACCAGGAAGGTGTGGCAGGGCCTCAGCTGGCCGCACTCAGTGTCACTGGTGGTGGGTTGTGACCTACACCAAGCACTCGGCCAGGTGCGTTTCACTACAACACAACAAATACTTGGGTGGGGCGGGGGCACGGGAGGCGGGCCGGGCAGAGCAGGCGCCATGCACCCGCCAGTCCTGTACCCCACTCTTCCTGTGCCTGCAGGCATCGGCAAGGACTCCTCTCTCGAAGCCAGGAAAATGGAGCTTAGTTTTTCACACTGGCGAGGTCACTGCGGTTCCTGAAACCCAGCCCCAGCTCCACAGCCGTCTGCCCCCTTCCCAAGCAATAGGGCTGTTCCCAAGCAGGGCCGAGTCAGGGTGGTGGGGCTGGGCCACACACCCGCCAGTGCCTCTTGTGCAACTCAGTGGCAGGGAGAGCCAGCAGGGCAGTGCATCCAGCTGGGCATGTTATTGTCTCTCTGACCCTCTACTTCTCCATCTGTAAAATGGGTAACACTGTCGCCCACCTCCCAGGGACACAGGGGATCAAACGGGGTGAATCTCAGCACCTGCCTTCTTCCTGCAGCACTCCAGGCGGCTCCCTGGGGTGGGGGCAGAAAAGTGCACACCAAGACGGGGCAGAACCACCTAGTGACCACGACAGCCAGGGTGAGTGAGAAGTGAGGCTGGTTCCTTGGTCAGTTATCACCTCACAGGGTCCCTGATATAAAAGCTCACCGCGTGACTCCCGGATCCCAGCATGCAGATCAGCCACTCTGTAACAAGCCTCTCCAGCTGAGCCCCAATCTGGCCTGTTAACTTCCTGACAATTTCCATACAGGCCGCCTGCGTAGCAGGACTTGGCCACCAGGGGGCAGTAGAGACATGACAATGTCCGGGCCCAGGGCCCTGAGGCCAATCGTGCCTTTCCCAAAAAGGTTAGAGAGGGAAAGGGAGGAGGCAAGCCCTGGGAGAGCCTGACTGGGACTGGCTACTTCACACAGCTCCAGTAACCTGTCCTCAGAGAAGAGACCCCTGCAGAGGGGGGAGCCGCAGAAAAATGGCTCCCACAAACGCCTTGACGCACCCCGTCTGCCAAGGCCCAGTGAGCGTGGTGGGTGGGGCTTCCTCAGTGCTGAGGGCCCCCAGCGAAGAGCAGGGCTGGGCCTGTGGATGCAGAGCTGCCTTCCTTTCTGGGGCCCTCACAGAACCTCCTGCCCTCGAGGGTTAAACGACACCTTCCACGTAGAGAGCTGCACTATTGTGATCAACTTCTTGGGGCAACTGCTCCCCCTAAACTTCGACCATCTCTGGGACACTCTGTCAATTTGCTGAAATCCTGGCCATGGTACCATTTTACGGATGGTGAAACTGAGGTCCTGGAGGACTAGGGAGCTGCCCCAAACTCGCACGGCTGACTTTCTGCTCCTTCTCTACAGGGCCTTTCAGCCTTGCTGTTCTCAAGGCACAATGGCTTTTCCAGTCTACTCTGTGCTTTTCCCTCGCGTCGGCTAAAGAGGATGGAAGGAGCAGAAAGAAGAGAAACACCCACGCCCACCCACCTGAACAAGCTGAATGGTACCCAGGAAAGACGCGTCGAAGTCCCAGCCCTTGGGCCGTGAGGGGATCGTATTTGGAAAGTGTCTGAGGATGTGATCTGGGGCGGCCCCGCATCCAGTGACCGGTGTCCTTAGGAGACACACAACGCAGCAGACCAAGGTCCACACGTAGGCTGCGGGCCGAAGGCTCCAGAGCCACAGACCAGCGTCTTCGCGTCCCAGCCCTAGGACCCAGCGCAGCGAATACCTTCAATGGTGCCCCACTTGGTCTTCCTGCCGAGGATCCGCTTGCCGTTGACCTGATACTCATGGTCGCTGCCCACCACGGCGAATGGGATCATCTCCTGGGACAGGGGCCGGTGGGGCAGTCAGCTGTGCTGGCAAAGGCCAGTGCCTCCCTGGGCCGGGCCCTGACTAGAAGCTGGGTGAGAGGCCGGGTGGACGACCAGACAAGGCCCCCATGTCTCCAGGTCATCCCACTGTTGCCTGGGCTGGGGCAGGAGCCCTCTGCCCTCCTCCGTGCCCCCTGAGGACCCCTGCAGACAGCCTTGGGCTGACCCCTCACCCGGAACTTCTCGTTCACCAGCCGGTCCTCTGCGTCCTCGTCAAACTCCTTCTGGGGGTACACGTCAATGCCATTGGACAGCAGATCTGCAGTGATCTGGGGAGACAGGGGGACCCCTGTGCCGTAACCTCCTGATGTCAGCTGCCCTGGGCCCGGGGTCAAGGGCAGGCTCTGGGGAGCTGCAGCTCTCATAATCTGCAATGCTGCTGCCCCCAAGCAAAGAGGGGCTGCTGCAGACCAGCCTGCCTTGAGATGATGTGGCTCCCCAATGGTGGGGTCTCGGGTTGCTGTCTCCCCCTCTTTCCTGGCCAGCTTATCATGCAAGCCATGAAATAAACTCAGGACAGTGAAGCCCTCACCTCCCAAAACCCTCCCATCGTGGACCCTGAAGCCCAGGGTGGGCCCCTCCTTACAGTCCAGGGTGCACCTGTCTGTGTGAAACCATCCCACTCTGACAGCAACACAAGCCAGGCGATGGTCGGCCTGGGGTGTTCCAAGGAACACCCTGGTCGTCCCATCTGCCCAGGAAGACTCGAGCCCACACACAACTTCGGAGCTACCTGTCCCCTTCCCTCCAGCACACGTCCCTGCGAAGTGGACCATGCCGGGAAAATCTCCGACAGCACCTGTGATGGGGCCCTCGGGACCTGAGGGGTCAGACTGGGGTTCAGGTCTATTAGGAAGAGGTGGCTGAGGGCTGGGCACCTGCAGGGCACCCTGTCTACCCAGCAGGCAGAAGTCCCAGACTAACAGAGAAGCCACTGGACCCCAGCAGAGACTGTCCCTTCGGGCTTTCTCTTCCATCTGATAAAAACTAGGCATGTTTTGTCTGATGGGCTCGCATCAACCTTGCTCCCAGGAAGGGGCACTAGTTGTTCCTGGATCTGCGTCTTTTTCAAGCCCCGCTCACACTTTGCTGGAGAATGGGTCTCTCCTGGGGAGCTGGATGGGCCACCCCAGGACACCCCCCAATCACCCCTAAGGGCAGCCACCTGCATGAGCGTGCAAGTGGCTCACTCCATGCCCTGGTCACCCTGGTCTGTGCCCCTGGACTGCGTGGCTTCCCCCAGGCCCGCGGCTGGTCCAAGGGGGCTGAGCGACGTACCCGCTGTTTGAAGTAGACCCTCTCTTCCAGTGTCAGGGTGTCGGCCTTGGCAATGACAGGGACAATGTTGACCACCTTGCTCAGGCGCTTCATGAACTCGATGTCCAGGGGCCTAAGGCTGAAACGCACGGAGGTGGGTGAGACTCAGCTCTGGGTCAGTGGACTGAGGGAGGGCCCCGCCTCCAGGGCTTGGTGCAAGGACAAGGGCAGAGCAAGCACCGGCCAAGTGGCGAGCGAGGATGGCAGGGAAGAACAGGGCAAGCCCTGGACACAAGTGGCAGGTCCACCGGGCTGGGACAGGGCCAGCTCTCAGCCCCCTCGTCCAGGAGGTTCCCGATCGGCCCAGGGCACGGCTCCTCAGAGAGGGGCTGCTCGGCCAGTCTGGGGGCTGTCACACTGCCGGGCTCTGACTGTCCTAGCTTAGCTAGGACTCTCCATGGCCACTGCGGGTCCCCCTTGCTCTCGTGCCTGCTCAAAAAGCAGGGCGCTGCCCTGAAGGACTCACTGCCCCACAGGGACACGAGAGCCAGGCTTGGGTTTCTGCAGGACCCCAGTGTGAGGCTTACTGCCTGCAGGGCTGGGATTTCCTTCAAAGCCCTGGGCTCCGGACCCCAACGTGGAGCCCATCTGATGGCTTCTGACTGTGGCCCGACTCTCCCCACCCCATGCCCAGCAGCGGGGCGGACAGCAGCAGCAGCACCATCAGGCAGCCCTGGGGCAGCGGGGCCCAGGGCACCTGTACCAGGTGGGGAGCGGCTGGCACGTACGAGTGGCCGGTGGCGGGGATGAAGTAGAGACAGCAGTGCACGCGCGTGTCGGGGATGCGCTTCTTGCGGTTGATGTTCACCTCCTCCTGCAGGTATTTCTCATACTGGTCGTTGATGAACTTCATGATGGGCTGCCAGCTGCATGGAGAGCCAGGTCAGTGCCGGCACGGGGCGTGTCCCCGGCATGGATGGACGGGAACAGCTCCCCAGCCCGGCATCTGGCCTTCCGGTCAACCTTCCAATCACCGCTTCTTCTTAGAGGCCCCCAGCCCAGCCTCCCATGCTGACCTTTGACCTCAGGGCACGGGGGAGAAGGCGTGAGACTCCCAGGGCAACTCCACTCTGCTCAACACAGGGGCGCTGGGGCCCGGCAGCCCGGGTGCCCCGGGAGTGCCCTCCCCCTTGAAGAAACCCCCAAACCCCTCACCAGTTCTCATTGTTGATGTGGTCCCCGAACCCTGGCGTGTCGATCACTGTCAGCTTCATCCGGACGCCCTTCTCCTCGATATCTGTGGGAACCGCCCAGTCCCAAGTCAGAGGGTGACCAGGACCCAAGGGGACCGCAGGAAGACAACAGCCTCTAGCAATAAAGTCCAGCAGACCCTTTCCCCAGTGTCACTGCCCTAGGATTCTGCTGATAGTTCAGCTGCCGTGGGGGCTCGGTCTCCCGGGCCTGAGGGCTACAGACCACTCCTACCCCGAGATGCAACACTCCTAGGGGTCTCAGCAAGTCCCTGCTCAGGGGGCCTGTCTCCCCTGACCTGGGGCACCTCCACCCTAGCCCCCGCCTGGACCGCCAGGGCGCTGACCGTGGGTGATGGACTTGATCTCGATGGTCTTGGGGATGCGCTCTTCCGAGGTGGGCTGCACCGACTTCCGGCTGATTTTGGACTTGAAGAGGGTGTTGATCAAGGTGGACTTCCCCAAGCCACTCTGCCCTGGGGAGACATGGGAAGGAGGTCAGCCGGCTCTTGGGAGGGGTCAGGCCACAACCACGCGACAGGCGGGAGGTGTCCAATGACGGTGCGGACCCAGGGCCAGGCTTGGTGCCCAGCCAGCTCAGCCCCGTGCTGTCCGGACCCCAGGAGGAGGCCTCCTGCCTGCTCTGACCTGGCACGGGGAGGCAGGGCCCATGCAAGAGTCCAGGCTGCCTGGACACGCCTATAGCTAGAGGCTGTGGATCCGCTCCTCGGGGTGGCGAGGCACTTATTACACTCAGGGGCAGCCGGCTCCGCTGCTCCCTGACCAGGGGTGGCCGTGTGCAAGTCCTCTGGCTTCGCGGTGCCTCGCTTTCTCTATCTGCACAATGTAAACTGCGCCTGCGTCTCCTCTGGGGAGCTGCTGCGAGCATCCGGCTCACACATGTCACAACGAGTCGCCCCGTCACCAAGAGGAGGATGAGACGTGGTGTGCACACTCACAGCCCCCACACACACTTGACTCCAGACTCTGAGCTCTGTCGCTTTACTGTGCCACTTGTCCCGACTTCTGACCTCAGAGCCGCCTCAAGAAAAGCCGGGGGCTCCCAGGAGGGTGGGAGCTGGCGCTGGACCCCAACCAGTGTGTGGCAGCCCAGGGACAGGGGCCCCTCCTGCCCGCCCTCTGCCCTCAGGTTTGTGTCCTGCCCTGCGCTGTCACCCAGCCCAGCCCCCGGGGGCCTCAGATCCAGGAGATGCCGCGTGGAAACTTCACCCCGTCCCTCTGTCATAACCATCACCGTCGGCACCAACACCAGGTGCACTGTGCATCAGGGACTGTGGGGGCCTCCTGAGCTCTCAACCCTCCTAGCCCTCTGGAGTCGGCATTAGATCATTTCGTGAGGAAACTGAGGCTCACACAGGGGAGGCAGACAAGGGAGAAAGGAAGTGGGAGGAAGGGGGACTCTCCCGCGGGACTGTGGACCCCACACAGGCGCTGCCCTCCCCGCTCTTGTGGACTGGGCGCTGCAGTAGCCAGGTGGGAGGGCCGGAGCAGACACCATGGCCCTGTGGGCAGCACCTGACCTGCTGAGAGCTCTCGGGTTACGAGACGTCTTGCTCTGCACGCAGCATCCCAAGGGTGAGCCCAGGAGGGACAGCTGGGCCCAGGTGATCTCAGACGGGGAGGTGGCCCCTGGGTGCCCTCCTGGAGGTCAAGGCCAGGCTACAGGGTGAAGGCAGTGCAGCCACTCCCCTCTCCTCAGCCACAGCGCTGAAGGAGGCCTGCGTCACAGACAGGACCAGAGAGCCCAGGCCTCTCTCGGGCGTCTCAAGAGCAGGAGGCAGGGCCACCCTGCAGAGCTGAGTTGAAGCCTAGTTGCTGCCTGGTGCTCCCCAACTCTCTCTCCAGCCTCTGGCCCAGGCCTCTGCCCAAGCAGGTGCCTGCCCAACTGGCACAGAACAGTGGGAGTCCCCGAGGGAGCACAGTGGGGCCAGGGAGGCCACACGGAGCAAGGAGAAGACACCAGGACCCCAGAGGGCTGGGCCCAGTGGGAGCAGAGGCAGGGGGGACGTGCTTGGACTGGGAGTCCTCAGACCCCTGCAGTGGGTGTCCCCCACCAGACTGGCCCGTGGGTGGGGCTTGAGCCTGCAGGGCACTGGCCCAGACTCCATTGCCCTGTTCTGAGCCTGCAATCAGCAACTTGTTTCCTCCTGAGAAAGGGGGACCCCTTCACAGGGTCAGGGTGAGGACCCCACTGGGTCCAAAGGGCTTCAGAGACAGGAGACTACCTGCTGCAAGTCTGCCCAGCCATGAAGCCTGCCTGGGGCACACTGGGCAATGATCCCCCCACCCCGTGACATCCAGTTCTTCAATGTGACATTGAAGGGGTCACTCAGCAGAGATGTAAAGCACAAGGTGGGTGTCACTGGCCATGGGGTGACCAGGTAGCCCTGCTCACCATTATCTCTGGGGGAGTCCGTGGGAGCTGCAGATTCCCCTGGCCCCAGGCACAATATGACACTTGCAATCCATCCTTCAGGCCCAGGCCATCACCCACAGTACAGAAGGGAAAACTGAGCCCAGGAGCATCTGTGACAGGCCCTTGTGGCTGGGCCAAGACTGGTGCCCTGTGTGGGTCTGGCATGGGGTGGGTGTGGGGGACTCACCAACCACCATGATGTTGAACTCGAAGCCCTGCTTCATGGCCTTCCTGCGCATCTGCTCCAGGATGGAGTCGATCCCCACGTAGCCAAAGTCCGCAGGGGCCTTCTCATTCCGTGACACGGGTGCCGGCTTGAGCATGGCGTCTCTGGGGGTGTCAGCCATGTTGCCCACACAGCCAGGAGCCGCCTCGGTGGCTGGGGAGGAAGAGCAGAGGTGTTGGAGTAAGACAGGGTCCGGCCATCGGTCCATTCTGAGATGGGGGAGCCAAGGCACGGGTTATCAGTTTGCCACAAGACCTCTGCAGAAGGCAGCTGATGGAAGCCACTCACCATGGCGACATCCAACAGGCCACTGCCCTGAAGCCACACTCTGCCCCAGCTCCAAGACTCAGCCTCACTCAGTAAGCCGCGCCTCCCCCAGGGTGAGCGCTCAGTCTCACCTTGCCCGGGCCTCTGCATCCCCACCCCCAACCCCCAGGCTCAGAGAAGCTGCAGCTGGGGCTTTGTCCCAGAGCCTCAGGCTCCCTCGTGGTCCAGCAGGAGGGACAGGCTCTGCCTTCTCAAGGAGGCACCAGGCTGCTTCGCCCCTCCTGTCCTAGTGGAGGCATCTGTTTCCGGGCACAGCCCCGGGGCGGGGCTCCGAGACAGGGCAGGCTGGGGTGTGCCCTGGACTGGTCCTGGCACCATCCCACCCCGTGGGTCCCTCCTACAGGCAAAGCCTACGTGTCTTCAGGTCTGCAGACAGGCAATGAGACCAAACCGGATATAAACACAAGCTTCTGCCCGACCGCAGGAGACCATGCAGGGTCTGCACGGCCCCAGGGGTCGGTGCAGTGCACATTCCACAGCCCTGTCCACACCAGCTGGAACATCCATAGGTGTGGAGACACCAAGCACCCTACCATGGGGGTGGCCACACCTTCTGCCCCCACTGCCCAGAGCTGCCCTGGCTGTTCCGCTTCCAGGTACATTCTGAGCTCAAAGCGAGAGACTACTCACCCCTCAGGCCAATTCCCCCAGGCCCTGGGAGGGACAGCAGGGGGACTAGAATTCATCTTCCTCCCCCAGGGCACCCACCAGTAAGCATGGAGGGGCAGATCCCCAAGGTGGTGAGCACAACCCCACCACCAGGGCCAGTGAGCTGCCTTCCCAAGCGTGCCAGCCCCGGCCATGGGCTCCTAACAACCTGACCTTGCCTGTGCAGCAGCAGGAGGGGGAGCTTCCAGGCTCAGGGCTTACCACTTCCGGGGGAAGTGCCCGACTCCACATGACCCACTGGGCTGAGCCCCCGCGTCCCGAGCGACTCCAGCATCTCCTCTCCAAGCCCTCCTCAGGCCGAGTGGGGGGCAGATGAAGGGACAGAGATGACTTACAGTCAGTTCTGGGGGGGGGGGCCTCCTCATCAGTTGTTCCCCTGCCTCTCAGCCTCTCCAGACCGTACTCTCTTAGTTCTGGGGACTGGGGAAGGAATGAGCCAACGGCATGCACAGAACAATGCCAGGAATTGCCAAGGGGTCACAAATCTCCAATCCCAAACAGCATCGGTAACAAAAGGCAGATCCTCTCGGCCCCGGCGCCAGGCTGCCCGTCCCGTCCAGGCCAGTCCTGGGAGACTTCAGGACAGGGGCTTCTGTCCTGCTCCGAAATATTCTCCAGGCTCCCAGCACTTCAAATAAACAAAGACATTGTGCTGCATCTGCCCCAGAACCTGTGGCTTGGGGCGCTTCCTGGAGACGGACAACAAGGGGCCTGCCACGGGGCCTGCCTCTCAGGCAGCGTGTAGCTCTCAGCCACGTGACTGAAAATTGCTTCCATCTGTCTGTGCGTCTAGGAGCCATTCTTCTTGGGCCGGGCCTGGGCCAGCTCCTCCCCACCCCATACTCCTCCCTCTGCATCTCGCCCCCTCCCCCCCAGGGGGCAGAGCTGCCCCCTGAACTCTCACTGCCTGCCGGGAGAGGAAGGGTCCTCCGGCCTCCAGCTGGGCCCCACCACAGGCACCAGCGCTCAGCGCAGAAACTCAAACCAAACCAAACTTCCTGCCCACTGAGAGCCCTGCTTGAGAAATAACAATAAAAACACAGACGTGCCCATTTTTCTCGTTCACTGGGGAAGTTTCCGAGCCACCAGCCGCTCCTGGGGGAGGTGTCACTGTAGGAGCTGCTCTGCCTCCTACCTGGCCAGGTGATGAGCTCTGGAGCTGCCTTCAGGAGCCCACCGGAAAAGCGGGGACCCTCACCCACAGACGTGCGTGAACTGAACCCTTGCTCTCTATGGGAAGCCACCAGGGGCCTTTCCGGGCCCTCGGGAGCTGGAGCTGAGGCGAGGGATAGCAGAGCCACTTCCTCCCTCACCTGGGCTGGTGGACCTGGCCTGGCCGCTGGCCACCTGTGACCTTGAGAGTCCCGATATAATGTACCATTTTACACTTGATCTTAGCCAAAAGGCCGAGATGCGATAATGTACCATTTTAACCATCAGTCCGTGCACGGTCCAGTTGTGTGGAGAACACTCTTTGTTGGGCAACCTGCCTCCAGGACTCAGCTTGAAACACTGCAACTCCGCCCCTGCTAACTAACGCCCGTTTTCAAAGCCTTGGGAGACCCCGCCCTACTGTTTACCTCTCTGAATCGGAGTCCCGAACTGGAGTAAAAAGTGAATCACAGGGTCGGGGATTTAGCTCAGTGGTTTCACCACCTGCAGCGCAAGCACAAGGACCCAAGTTCGATCCCGGTTACCAAAAAAAAAAAGTGAATCACAGAGCATCTGTCGTGTGGAACCAGCACATCACGTCCTTGAGCTTCATCTTCACTGTGGCAAACGTGCTGAAATTCCCTTTGTATGGCTGAGTTACACGCCTGGAATGCACACACCATCACATCTATCCGCTCATCTGTCACAGACGCAGGCTGCTCCAACCTAAGGAGAACCACTCCAAGTGCACTCTGCTAACCGCTCCGGGGCTGCTTTTGAGTCTGTAGGACACACCCAGAAGTGAGTTGCTGGCGAACACAGCAGCTGTCATTTTATTTTTGAGGAACTGCCACAGGCATGCTCGTGAGTGACTTTGGAGCACTGGAAACTGAGCTGGTCCAAGTGAGGAACTGAATTTTTATTTCAATTTGATCAAGTTTAAATATTACACGTGCCAAATTCTAGTCCAACCTGCTTTTCACAGGCGGAGAAACTGGATCCACAGAGTGATTTTCTCCCCTTCCCTCGAAGCTCCATTGGAAGGAGACCAGCCGACAGGAACCCTTCCCTGAGTTTGTCAATCCTGAAATTTCACAGCTGCTTCTGTGATACCTGATTCACGTTCATGCTCCCCACTAAGTGTAGCTCTGTGCCTGGGGAACAGCCATGCATTTCTGACCCCACACCAAACTCTTTGGAGCCCAAGGCTGTGGCCTGCTTAAGGGTACCCCAAGTCCTAGCCCAGTGAGGAGTGCAAAGCAGCTACTCAGTAAGTGTCTACTTGGGCCTGGGATTTAGCTCAGTGGTGCCGCTACCTGGCTTACAAGCGCAAGGTCCTGAGTTCGATCCCAGGTACCAAAAAAAAAGTATCTTTTTAAAAGCCCTCCACCTTGTGCATGCACACACACACACACACACACAGAACAACAAAATGTGGTCATCCATGCAGTGGAACCTCGTTCAACTATAAAAAGACACAAAGCCCTGACTCACGGTGTGACACAGGCACACTTTCAGAGTGCCAAGTGAAAGAAGCCAGGCACAGAAGGCCACGGAGCGTGTGAGCCCAAGGATATGAAGAGCACAGAACTGACTAATCCAGAGACAGAAAGCAATTCCATGTTTGTAGGGGCTGAGGGAGAGGGGAGACTAATGAGTGTGGAATCTCTCTTTAGGGTGATGAAAGTGTTCTGGAGTTAGACCCAGAAGATTGTTCCACAACTTTGAATAAATGCCACCTAACACTACACTCTGAACGGGGGAAGCCAGGAGGGAAGGGAGGAAGCAGGCTGGCACACATTTCTAGCAGAGCTGGGCCCTGGGTCACGACAGGCGCTGTACAGTGTGCGCGGAGGACAGCTAGAGCCAGATGCCCACGCCCAGGGCATCCCGAGGATGCAGCGCCAGGCAGTTATCTCCCAGCAAGGGTGTTTCTGGGGGTGGCAACCAGCTGGAGGTGCTGTGGGAGACTGACAATGCCTCTGTGGGTTCCCATTTCAAACCTAGGTCCATCTGCCACTCCCCCACACCCCCAGCACCTGCTGTGCTGCCTTTTCTCCCTCCTCTGCCCAACTCTGGGTCCAACCGGGAAGAAGAGGGGCTGTGCCCTCGAAGTCCCAGGCCAGCACCATCTGCAGGCTTCTGCACGGTGCCAAATTCTCTCCCAACCTCAGCGTCTAGAGTGTGACAGAATCGGATCAGGATCGCCATCCATGGCTTGCTGGGTCAGGGCAGGAGGCCGCATGCCTGGGAGATAGCGCCCAGAGAGCAAGCAGCTACTGGGGCGGCCACGCCTCATCACCGGGCCAACCTTGGCTTGCTGGGCTCTCGGCTCGGCACAGCGGCCTGGAAACCACACCCCTGCCTTCCCTGCAGCCACACTACTCTATCCCAGGAGCATCCGCACAATCTGTCCTCGTCCATACACTCCCGCTCGCTGAGCAACGGCCTCACTCCCAGCTCCAGGGGCCGCCCATGCGGTGGCCGTGCCTCTGCTGGGCCTGCACCCCAGGACAGAGCTCTTCAGGCAAGGTCAAAGTCATGCCCCTGATCTCACCCCAACACCACCCATGTCCGCTTCTTAAAACCCACTATGGCAACGAGATCGCCTTTACATGCTCTGCTCAATCGCAGCCCTCCAGGCCAAGCAGAAAGCAAGGCCATCCAGTCCATGGCCACCTTCGAGGCCACCAGCACAGTCCCGCAGTCACCACGGATGCACGTGGGCCCACAGCTGCAGGTCCAGGGACATCACCTCCACCTGCAGCTCTACAGCCACCAGCAGGCGCCCCAGCAGCACCTGAGCCATGGCTGGGATACCACGCCCCATAAACATCAGATGCTCCCTGTCCCCTGCAAACTTCAAACTGAGTCCCCAGTGCGGGAGGGGTAGGCTAGTGCCCAGAGCTGCTCCTTTCCTCTCTCCTACCTCTCTGGGTCCTGCAAAGACCCTTGAGTCCCCAATAAACCCTGGAAGAGTCCAGTCTGTTCACCCTCACCGTGCC